ATGTTATTATATGCTTTCATAGAGTTAGTGTTGATTTTACAATTCACGACTTTTTATCACGTTTTTCAATATTCGAATTCAAAATATCCGTTGTATGAAATATTTAAGTTGAATCGTGATACTAATTGGTAAAAAATTGTAATGACTAAATTTCACATGAATTAAAATTCAAGAATCTACTTGACACGTGCATCACTTAAAAAGAATTTAGGAAAATGTTAGGGATACATTGGGGGTGACATAAAGGATAACATAATGCGAGTGATGTGGATCCCATGCTACAGTATCGCGGGCCCCACCCCTACTCACATTATGTCATTCTTTATGTCAACCTCAATGTACAAGTAGATTAATCCAAGAATTTATGCAAACGACCTTACCATGTTGACATACCCAAATATCAGGAGGCACGACATTGAAAGGACACAGTACAGGAAACAAAGCATAATGTACAACCTAATTCAACATCCACAACCTCAAAGTCAAGACGATATCCAACGCCAGCGTCATCTTCATCCATCCACCCCCCCACCCTACCAACCCCACAAACCATTTCTTCAGCCGCAGATTTTTTTTTTGGGTTTTCATCTCAAGTTTTCCTCAAGGCGGTGTGTATAAACAGAATACATATACCATCCGATGGCATCTAGAAATTAACTTTTCGGCCCCCTGGATTTTGTTCCCGTTTTCCCTCTTGATTGGTCCCTCTTCTTTTGGCCGGTCATTCATTCCCGAAAATTAAAAACCCTACAATTTGAGCTTCAAAGTTATTGTTGTATTGTTATCTTGTCAAGGGGGTTACAATTGACAGTCTGGAAGTGATAAGTTAAGAATTGAAATCCCAAGTTTTCATCAATTTTGTTGCTATTTGTTATGGGGTGAAGGGGTAAATTTGGTTTCATATTGTTCGATAAAGTTGGATGGAGTGGGATAGTGACTCGGAGTCTGATCTGAGTGGTGTGGAGGAGGAGGAGGCAGGTGAAGGGTTGGGTTTTTGGTTGAGGAAGAGCGGTCCAGGTGAACTACCGTTTCCCGTGGACACACTTCTGCAGCCGGCTCCTTGCGGGTTTACTGTCACGGATGCTTTGGAGCCTGACAATCCCATTATTTATGTAAATTCCGTGTTCGAGATGGTTACTGGATACCGCGCAGAGGAAGTTCTTGGTCGCAACTGGTCAGTGTTTTGATGGAGTTTTCTATACCTTTTTCATTTTTAACGGGTTAATAGGATTGTGCATTTCCAATATAGTTCGAACTAAGGAGTAGGGAGGTTTTCGTTGTACTTTGGGNTGAGGAAGAGCGGTCCAGGTGAACTACCGTTTCCCGTGGACACACTTCTGCAGCCGGCTCCTTGCGGGTTTACTGTCACGGATGCTTTGGAGCCTGACAATCCCATTATTTATGTAAATTCCGTGTTCGAGATGGTTACTGGATACCGCGCAGAGGAAGTTCTTGGTCGCAACTGGTCAGTGTTTTGTTGGAGTTTTCTTTACCTTTTTCATTTTTAACGGGTTAATAGGATTGTGCATTTCCAATATAGTTCGAACTAAGGAGTAGGGAGGTTTTCGTTGTACTTTGGGTGTGAAACGTGACTAGATTATATGTTTTAACTAAATTTTGTGTTTTTAAGAAAGAGGGAAGGTTTCTGCTATCGTACTATGATATAGATAAAGGATTGAATATAATGAAAATATACAAAACCTCTAGATTTATCGTGTGAATTTTGAGCTTGTGCCTTTTGACAATTTGGTGGACAAGGTGGTATTAAAATTGAAGTTTTCCTTCTTTTTCTGTGATTGGGATAGGGAAAAATTGTGTATATGTGAAAATTGAAGGTTGGGAGGAGATGTAACCACGAAGCTTGAAAACATTTAAAATTGGCTAGAAATTGAATTCAGTTCAGTTCAGTTCTATTCTTAGTTGGATGATTAAAAGTATGGAGAATCAAATTAAGTTGGGCATGGAAGATAGTTTCAGAGATCAGTACGGTCTTGTACACAAAGATTACAGCTCTTCTTGAAGATGCTTTATTAGGGAATGTAGCAACTAAAGCTCAATTTTTTCTGTGGAAAAATTACTGTTTGATAGTACAAGCTCTTTTGAGTTGCAGATATAGCAATGAAGCTTAAGAGAACACTAAGAATTAGCTAGTAAATTTAGTTGAAATCAGTTCAGTTCTCTTAGTTAGCATATAAATGGCTATTAAAAACAATGTCAAAAGAGTGATATTTGCATTTCAAAGCAGGCTTACACAGTTTTCCTAAAGATAATGTAACTCAATTATGTGTTAATTTGACAGCGAAATCTGTGATGTGGTGTATAGTAAAAATGGCAACTTGTTGATATATAATTTTTATAATCGAGAGTGTCCGGGTCAGATTGCGCGTACTTCGGCTAATCCCACGAGGCCCTGAGATTTATGGTCGGGTACTCACCTCAGTGGCCCTGAGAGGACTTGAACTGGTGACCGTTGGGGAGTAAACCCAATGTTTGACCAATTGAGCAGCCCCTCAAGGTTACTGATATATAATGTTGAGAGTTATGAAACGTGTTTAAATTAAACTACATTGCAATAAGCCCGCCTATTGAGGTACTTTTTGTCTTGGAAGTAGGCTGCGTACATCTGAAGATAATATCCATTTGAACTACTTCATAAGTTGGATTTTATTATTGTGTAATGGTACCTCCTACATATCATTTGAGCTTTTAGAAATGAAGCGGAAAAACTGTAATGCTTGTTCTATCATTGAAAGTAAAGCCACTTACTTTCGAGTCCTATCATCATAACTCCTCATGATTCAGCATCAGTCTTCTTGTTCTCCTTATTGTCTCCCTCCTTTGCTAGTCTGAAGGTGATTTTGTAAGTTCAAACCATGCTTCAATTCGGACTGCTTAAGTGTCTTGAGTGATGTCTGAACCTCAAATTTGGACTCATTTTTGGATGTATGGACTTGACTTCGGACATCTCATCCCTTTCATTCGTCAACAATATCTAGTCTCCTTGGATTTAACAGCTAAGTTCATTTAACAGTTTCACGTTAAGGCTTACTCCAGTCATTGGTGTTCAACGTTCTCATATGACATATTTTGGTGGTTGGACCCAACTGAATTATTGTCAAACCACAAGAACTTTACAAGTTTGATTAATGATTATTATTATTTGTTATCCTCACTTTAATTTAAATTGGTTTGATTTTTACGAGCTTTGATAATTTTCCTCACTGAAATAACACCTCAACTAATGTCCATCTATCTCCACTTCAGAATATGGTTGGCCACGTAGGAAATATTTTGACGGAATTCTAACTTAATGACCAAACTGAAACTTTATTATAACTTCGGGGACTTTATGGAACAAAAAAAGATGAGTGATGGATATGAAATTCTTTCAATACTTGATTACATCTGGTGATTTTTACCCTTCTCTATTGTGATGTAAGCTTTCTGAGTTAAAGTAGGTTTTCGAGTTTTCTAGGATTAGACTCAATAGGCCTCATCGTTTCAACAAACAAAAAATTGAAGAAATTTATTTTCAGTCTAGAAAATATTGATTATTTGAAATTTAATTCTAAAGCACTAAATTTATAGTGCTGCCATTCCAATATGGAATCAGGCATCCTATGGTAACCTGCAGAATTACCTCTTCGAACACTAGAAATCGAGTAGCTGGTTTGGGTAGAATATCTACTCACGCTGCGTTTAAAAGGATTACATAGGCAGCAACATTAGTAGTACCACCACCAAAGAGGTTGGAGGTTTAAATAAGGGTAGAAAAAGGGAAGGAAGTGATACTTTTGGAATTGCTAGAGCTGTTGCCAGTAGCTCTACACTATGTACCCTTATATGTTTAATTGCCACACTTATGATGTACATTCTCATGTAGTTAAGTTGACTGAGGTTGAATGAAAAGTCAGATTTTGTAGAATTTATTTATGACAAATAGTCTGAAGAATGTTGGGCAAAAAGGAGGCAGCAGAGTATATTCAATACTAAGGTCAATTGAGAGGAAAAATGTCTAATGTGATCATCGATAATGGTTTTATTGGAGATATATTTCAGAAGTAGCAATAACCAAGTTGGAATTTCTGACATTTTTTTCTTTTTTTTTGGGATTTGGGAGGATGTTAATGTTCCAATTGCTAAAAGGTGTCTGCTACAATTGATACATGTGACACTTATCAAGATGAAGTTTGGTTTGATGCCCTCCCCATATCTTACTTGGACTATATTTATATGATTATAATGTGGGCTATCATACCAAACCAAATTTCTGCACATTATACAAAGATAACAGAAATATGAAACCACATCCTTTGAAAGAAAATCTACAAGATAAATCTTTTTATATCATGGAGATTAGTATTCTCTAATCCTATTAGTTTGGGAAGATGACTGTGTAAGAGTTTTCCATGTGCTGTTTGGTTGCTGGAAATGAGGAAATTCATAAATTGTTGGAGATTAGTTAATAGTGATAGTTTAATTTTTACCAAATCTTTCTTCAACTAGATTCTTTTTAATATTAGACTTGAATTTTAGTTGGTTAGACATTAGATTTTATTTGTACACTTAATTTAGTATTTGTGTAGCTTTTATTTGGACATTTTTCATTTCAAAAAATTCTTGTTTGCTGGGATAAATGTCTTCGGTGCTTAATCTCTAGTGTTCACTTTGATCTCCAACAATATCCTTTTGTGCTTGCAATCATTTTTATTATTTTGGTGCTTGGCCTTGTTCACACATTACCTTTGCTTATAAACTAAAAGCAAATGAAGTTCAATTTTCTTGGAGTTGAAATGATTGAACACTATATTATCTATAGTTTCCATGGTAAAACAGTATAATGAACAACTGCCACTATGTGGTCTGATTCTTACAGATTAAGGCTTCAACAGAATATTGGTACAACTACTAGTACTACACACACCATTTTTGTAAAATTGTTTTCATTTTGTCCAAATAAAAATTTCTGCTGCTGAACCCTAAACCAGTATGTTGCATATATTTTATTTCACAACATTTTGACTTCAGCACAACTACTAGATTCCTATATCACGTGTTGAAGTTCTTTATTTTCAAATATTTAGATTTATCAAATGCTGGAAATGAATAATTTGATTTCTTGTTGGCTGTTTCAAGTACAAGGCTTCTCTTAAAAAAATTGAGCATCCAATAGTCGTGTTACTTAAGGAAGTGCTAAGATTTTTAAGTTTTGCTTTTAAGTTTATGGTGAATGGTTATATGCAAGCTTACTCTATCAGTTTCATGGGTTTGATGTATATTACTTTTCACTCGTATGGTAACATGTTTGGTAATTCTAGAAGCTCGTACTTTGCCTGGTTGAAGTGTCAACCTTTATGATAGCCATTTTGGTTTTGGTTCAATTCTTTTCTAGGGCTAGTATAGTGATTCCTATTATTGGAATTAAGGCGGTGCATGCACCTGACCTTTCTGTCATTGCTGAATCATTGATGACAAATCACAGGGTTAGATGCCAAAGTTTACTTTTTAATTATATCGGATATTTATAGTAAATTGTAGAAAGTCTAGCGGAGTTTTTATTCATTTATCTGTTGTTACTTTCAATGCAGTCAGAGCTGCTGAGAATTGTTTGCATTTTATGTTTCTGAATGCTGATAGGCAATGGTATATCACTGATATCTGATTATGTTTAAATCTTTTGCAGTCGTTTCCTGCAATGCAGAGGTCCATTTGCTAAGCGAAGACATCCACTGGTGGACTCCACAGTAGTAGCTGAAATAAGAAGATGCCTTGAGGAAGGGATCGAGTTTCAAGGCGAATTGTTAAATTTTAGAAAAGATGGATCCCCATTGATGAATAGATTGCGTATGACCCCAATTTATGGGGATGATGATACAATAACACATCTCATTGGTGTACAGTTCTTTACAGAAGCGAATCTTGATCTGGGGCCACTTCCGGGAACTTCAGCAAAGGAATTTGCAAAAGCTTCTGAGAAATTAAGATTTAATTCTTCTCCTCGTCAAGTAGCGTTAGATGGGAACCGTAACACTAGTCTTGGGGTTTGTGCATTACTGCAGTTAAGTGATGAAGTCCTTGTTCTGAAGATTCTTTCACGTTTGACTCCAAGAGATATAGCATCTATTAGTTCTGTCAGTTGGCAGCTTTATGAGCTTACAAAGAATGAAGATCTGTGGCGAATGGTCTGCCAGAATGCATGGGGTAGTGAAACGACTCGAGTACTAGAGACAGTGCCTGGTGCTAAACGATTAGGATGGGGTAGATTGGCAAGAGAACTTACCACTCTTGAAGCAGCAGCATGGAGCAAGCTAACTGTTGGAGGTTCCGTTGAACCTTCTCGCTGCAACTTCAGTGCATGTGCTGTCGGGAATCGTGTGGTTCTGTTTGGTGGGGAGGGCGTCAACATGCAACCTATGAATGATACCTTTGTGCTGGATCTGAATTCCAGCAATCCTGAGTGGCAACATGTCATAGTAGGCTCCCCACCTCCTGGGCGTTGGGGTCATACACTTTCTTGTGTCAATGGATCTCATCTTGTTTTGTTTGGAGGCTGTGGGAGGCAAGGCTTACTCAATGATGTTTTCGTGTTGGATTTGGATGCCAAACACCCTACGTGGCGGGAAATCTCCAGTTTGGCCCCTCCACTTCCTAGATCTTGGCATAGCTCCTGCACCCTTGATGGCACGAAGCTGATAGTCTCTGGCGGTTGTGCAGATTCCGGGGTGCTTCTGAGTGACACTTTCCTGCTCGATCTTTCAATGGAGAAACCGGTGTGGCGAGAGATACCGGTAGCATGGACTCCACCATCTCGTTTGGGCCACACGCTGTCGGTTTATGGTGGTAGAAAAATTTTGATGTTTGGTGGTCTTGCCAAAAGTGGTCCTCTGCGGTTTCGGTCCAGCGACGTGTTCACTATGGATCTGAGTGAGGACGAGCCATGTTGGAGATGTGTAACTGGAAATGGGATGCCTGGTGCTGGAAATCCAGGAGGAATAGCTCCACCCCCTCGACTTGATCATGTGGCTGTGAGCCTCCCTGGTGGTAGAATCCTCATATTCGGTGGCTCTGTGGCTGGTCTTCATTCCGCATCCCAGCTTTATATACTCGATCCAACTGAAGAAAAGCCAACATGGAGAATACTAAACGTACCAGGACGGCCCCCAAGATTTGCTTGGGGACACAGCACATGCGTCGTTGGAGGCACGAGGGCTATAGTTCTTGGAGGTCAAACTGGGGAAGAGTGGATGCTGAGTGAACTTCATGAACTATCATTAGCAAGCTGTCATCTAATCTAGGAGGACAAAGTTGAAAGTTTGTGAACTTGGCACATAATCATATTCTTTCGGACGGGGTTCAAGAAAGTGACTGGTCCCGATTAAACAATTCGCTGAGATTGTCCTTACCATTCGGACTTGCTTGACATGTATTATTGTAATATGGTGTACGATCCAGCCAGCAGCTGTACCTAAACTTGTTTTCTTGTTAAAGCTCTTGGGAATACGTGAGCTCATGGCGTGATCCCAGTTTAATTTTGTGAGTTTTGTATGATATTTATTCAATCATAAACACTTTGAACTGTTTGCTCCTCTCGAGGCTTCTTGTACTTGGTAGAAATGTAGGTCATCATATATGTAGATTAGTTTCCATCACGAATGGTTGCGTTGTGCTCCGGGCTCTGTAATTCGAAATTAGATAAAAACACAGGAAACAATTCGCGCCATAACTTGTTGAGATGCCTTCTCCTGTTTTGTGCATGTTTGTTATGTAGTACTCAACGGTACATGTATACTTGGTTGTCTATATCTTTGTTCGCTTACTATCCGTATTTAATTTTCATATACGTTCAATCTTGTCCATTATCGGCCAGTTGATCACATTGAACATGCTGCTGTGGGGCCAACCTGATTGAAGGGAGGCCCAGCCGCCCAGGTGCAAGCCAAATGTGAAGAGATGCATGCAGTAAATAGAGGAATGCATTTTTTCGAGCAACAGTCTTTATGGTTTATACAAAAAAATACTAGACATAGCTTTTGAGGTACAATGCTTGCTTTTCACTATATATAGGGTACACAAGTTGCCCCATGAATGTCAAGTCACACTTGACAAAATTTAGAATGAAAATTGAAATTAAAATATTGTTATTGTACTCTTGCTTGCATAGTGAATACGGTCTAAATTTGCATATTTCATAGGGAAATTTGCGCAAATTGTTCTGATTCTTTCATTCTTGTCAATTGTCCCCTGAACTGATTGATCTTTTCTGAAAATTTTCAATAATTCAATATAAAAGTGTTCAAGAGGTGGGATACAACACCACGGTACTTGAAAAAAATTTCTTTAGGAGATTCTATTAATATTCTTTATTGTACTAATTTTTCATGCGATTCTTGTTTTCAATAACTTTTTTCTATTTTTCTCTTAAACCCCTCATTTCCCTTTACATACCTGAGTTGGGAAATCCTCGAGCTGCTCCCTAGTAGGAGGTGGGACAGGGTGAAAGGAAAAGAGGTTTAAAAAGTTAAATCTTGTTACATGTACACCCTTCTCTTTATCTTTTTTGTTTCTAATCCGACATGGTTACAGAATGATCAAATAGTTGTGTCGTGGCTAAACACCACCCTTTTCTGAAGAGATTCTTGCCAAGATTATTGATCTCTCTTCAGCGTAGGCTTGGGCCTACCTATCCTGATAGGAACCCATAACAGAACAGAAGCTGTTGAGACGTTCCATTTTGTCAAGACGAGGGGCAGTGTACTTTTTCAGCATAAATTGTATATCTTAGAGAGGTCGTATTTTTTGGGTTAGTAGTAATGGAATGCTTTTATTATCTAAAATAAAACATTTCCCACCAAATGATCAGTCCAATAATACCACGCATTCGTAAATAGCGCAATACTTCTTTGTAAATCTCCCCTATTTGAATATTGACCATCATAACAACGAATAATAGTGAAACAACTATAGCTCCTATATAAACTATTGGGAAAATCACGGTGAAAAAGTAGAGACCTAACAAAACAAGTAAACTTGAAGTGTTGCGAAAAACTGTGATGGAAAATAAAATAGAATATATCGGATTTTTAGCATGTACAACCATCAAATAAGAGATCAAAGCATGGCTCGACAAAACAAAAAATATCATTGTACGTCATCCTTCCTTGAAATGGAACTTTCATGCTAGAGCATGAACTAGCATGAAAGTCGATTTATTACGACCAACACGATCGTTCGTATTTCATTTTCTTCTTTCANGAATTTATACTTGACATAATCTCACACCATCTTTTACATCCCATGCACTCAATCCAATCATTATAAAATGTGACAACATTCATCTATCAGTCAAGTGGTAAACGAAGAAATTTACAAATAGCATCATCCTTAAAAGGTTCACAAGTTAAATTTTATTTCACAAAATAAAAGCGAGAAAATGACACAAATGAAATAGGAGAAATGCTCTCCGCACTGATTAATGCTTCCAAACTGTGCCTTGTGCAGTTTAGACAATTATGCTTCAGAATCCAAAATAAGTAACAGTGAATCATGTTCTGTCTTTCACATGAATAGGTTTCGGATTTTCAGCACACGAACACATTCTCCTAAATCTCCTGTCTCCCTTTTGTTTGAGAGAGAGAGAGAGTTCTTGATTTCACTCCCAAAGAACAGGGGGCGTTCGTGTGAGATTTTGCATACACGGTAGAGCTGTTTCTTGGGTTTCGGAGAGGACAAAATGGAGTCTTTGCTTTACGGGTCTTTCCACAAGCCTCCATCTTCGCTTCCATTTCCAGCCACTGCTGAATTATTCTCACTCCCCACAGGTATGTGTGTTTATATATGTATTTATACATAATACACTATACAAGAACTCTTAAAGATATTTACATTCTTTGCAATTCTTAAAAGGTCTGGGCTTTACTCTTATGTGATGCGTACCTTATTTTTCTCTGATTAAAGGTTTGTTTGTAACAATTTTAGTCACCGAGTTCATGTTTATTTCTATTAAAGAATGTATATTTGTTATGCTTTTCTGTTGTTTATTCTGGGTGTCCACTATTAGCTAGCTAATGTTTCTTATGTTCATGTTCATCTTATTTATTCAATTTTCTTGTGTTCTTTAATTTAATGGCCCCGTGCTATGCATGTATTTTGTAATTGATGTGTACATTATATTTCTGTAACTGATAAATGCATGTTCGTTTCTGGAAATGGGCTCTTGAAATTCATTCTTTTAATGCTCAATATGTTTAAAATTATAGGTTCTCGCGTAGCAGCGCAAAGTTGTAAATGCAAAGCTTTGAACAACCCAGAAAATAACTATGCAATACCCATGAGATTACAGTTGCACAGGCAACTCGTAACACATCAGAATTTTAGAAATAATGATGAAAGAATTGTTTTGTCAAGTTCAAGGCGCAGTGCGAAGTATCTAGTGAATGCAACTTCTGAAAACTCTCTTGAATCTGAACCTTCCAAGAGCTGTTGGAGATCAATTCAACACGTGTTAGATGCTTTCTACAGGTTTTCACGGCCTCACACAATTATAGGAACAGTTAGGTTCATCTGTTGATTTTGCTAATGAAAAGGGAAACTTTCTGCAATTGTTTTGAGCAGGCATTGAGCATAATTTCAGTTTCTCTCCTTGCAGTTGAAAAGCTCTCAGATTTTTCTCCATTATTCTTCACTGGGGTGCTAGAGGTGTGGAAAATTTTTAGTCAGATTCATAAGGTTAATTGATGCTCTATAAGAATATATTTATTGCAGGCGATAGCTGCAGCCCTGTTGATGAACATATACATAGTGGGTTTGAATCAGCTGTCTGACATTGAGATAGATAAGGTCAGCGTGTGAAATAATTGTAGTTGTTATCTGTGTGTATGAAGGAACTCGGGGAAATTATGCTTCAGTTTTAAATTATTGTGCGAAGGGACAATCCAGTAGCAATAAATATACTTCTCCCTGAAGCTTTAATGACATTTCTTTAGAAGTATACAGCTTTTAAAATTTGAAGATTAAAGATTAAATATTTTAGCATTTCTGGTGCAGAAAAAACTTATCTTCTGAACATCAGTTTTGTTTTTCATGCATGTAAGATGAATGATGTTGATTGATTTTATTTGTTGAACCTGTTCAAATGGATGAGTATAGTATCCCTTGTCATATATTTGACTTTATAGAATGGGTGAGCTCCAACGCAACAACTTTTGAATTTTTTTCAAAAGCCGAATACTGCTTAATAACAAAATTTAGGAGTCAAAATGACAATTATCTGAGATCAGACCTAGGTTGAAATGATGGTTATGCAATTAACAGTAGCGGATTTTTCTCGCCATATTGGTGGAGAGCATTTGGATCGACTAGGCTTGTGTGATTTAGAATCTGACCAGAACTAGCATTATAGAGTTCTCTGCCTTGGGGCAAGTATACAACTTGTGGAATATATGAAGCAGACTTGAGATTATTGAGGGGCCTTCATACGAAAGAAAAATTATGGCAAGAAATTCAAGATGCAAATGAGGTAACATATTACCCATGAATATGCTACCTCCAACCCTGATATAGGATGTCCTCTTAAAATGAAAGATTGAAGCCTTTGTGAAAATGTGCTATTGCTTTACTGTTTTAGAGAAACTTCCCTTGTAAAATTTTCAAGTCTGAGGACTGAGATTTAAATATGTCATTCTATTCAGTATCTCCTTTCATTACACTGACTAATGGAGTTAATCTGTTCATATATGATGATCAGATGAAGATTACTAGTCATTAAGTCTGTATTTCTCTTTGAACTGAAGAAAATCTGGTGTTAGTCACTGCTTATCAACTGTATCACGTCCCTTTAATTCTTTTTGGTATATATCAGATATATTATACAACTGTCTGATACCTGGGAAATTATTTAACACTTATTCAATTGTCATTTTTTCCCCAAACTCTTTTACGACTAGTATAAGAAATTTCTGTGGTGTTTCTCAGGTAAACAAGCCATATCTTCCATTGGCTTCGGGAGAATATTCAGTCACGATGGCAGTGATGATTGTCTCATCTTTTGCCTTGTTGGTAAGTAGAAGAGATATCGTTGGGTTTCGGTACACTTGCATGTCTCATTTACATTTGTATTCATGGCCCAACTGCTGAGATTTATGTGAACATCGTTGCTATTTTGCTTCTCTGCCTGTTACCTTTTTTATTTTTCACTGAATTATCTATTAAGATGAAAGCTAAGATAGAACTCGAGTCCATGATCAGTCATTTTGCTGTACTCCACATGCCTATCTGACTGTACATGCCACTTTTGATT